GGAGATGCTTCAGAAAAAAAAAAAATATTACATTTCAATAACTTGTATTTGTGATTGAAATCTTATCAGTCTCCATATACGTTATAGTATGTTCATGTAGTCACCGTCACGCAAATTACTCACAAGCAGTTATTACTTTATCTTTTTTTACAACTTCTTAAGATGTGTGCTCCAAGTAAACCCAAGCTAAACTCAGAAAGCTCTTTATATCATTAACTGAGATGTAGTACTCCTAAGCTTTGTTGTTGTCTATGCAACTCTGACATGTTGGCATGCTTGAAACTAAACTTTTATTGTGTTGTAAATCTTCATTTGGCCATTACACTTGTTCATACCGCAGACGGTGGAAAGTGGCCCCCGCAGAGCCTGATGACATTCTCACCGTTTCAACACCTTCTTTCCTCCTGAATAGTTTAAGACTTGTCATGTAACCAGAGAGTCCCTGTGCTGTATTTTTGGCACGTCCACCATGTGTGCAGCAAGTTACTTAAATGATAGTGCCAAATGGCATGGTGCTGTGCTATGGTGTTATATGTTGCATATTTACAGGCCCAGTTCCAGTCTTTCATTTAATCTGTCATGAACAAACAGTGATCATCATAAATATTTTAATTGACAATGTAAATCACATACAGTTATTTGTCTAAAGTGACTCAATGAAGCTACTGTCATTAGGAGCAAACATACTGATCGCTGGACAAAAATAAAATGACAGTGGAAGTCATTTTGTACCTTGAGCAACAAATTAAATTAAGTCAAATATGCACAGAGATATTTATAGGTGTCCTTTGCATGCATTGTCTTGCGGAAGTTTAATTACCACCATAGACTTAAGTAAATCTTTTGGACTCATGTTGAAATCCAGGGACTGACAGTTACAAAGTTTGCTAACCAGTGGAGCTCTTCTGGTGAAATAACGTTTAAGACAGATGCTCTTATCTTTCGTCAACAAAAAACAGAAATGTGCGCACATCTAGAAAATCTTGAAGGCAGGTGCTCGATCAATAATAAACATTTGTAGCAAAACATAAAAAATGTATTTATTAATTAAATAAATAAATATAAAAATCGGCACACTGCCACTTTAGCTGGTCGTTAGTCTTTAATATCACTCATACAATGTTTCGACCGACATGGTCTTTATGAGGTTGACAACACACATTAAGAGGTAAGTAACAGAGGCCAAATTGATGGTACAAAACATAAATCAGTTTCTTACATGCAGGGATGGGCAGCATTTATGATACATGCATATCAAATACACATTTCAAAAACAAAATACTACTTTGTTATTTGTATTTGATAAGGTTTATGAAAAAGGGTTAATATTTGGTATCTAAATACTTTAAGAAGTCTACATCATAATGCGGCCTCTGATTGGTGCTTTCTCAGTTATTTGCCAAGGCTTGAGATCAGAACAGAAAATGGGTTATGAAAATGGTCAATGATTGGTATGGATGGAATTATGCAATATGCATGAAGAAAACGTGGTAGAATGAGTAAACTGCACAAATAATAGTAGTTTTAGATTGATAGTCTCATTTTCTTGGTATCTACATCAGCAAACAACAAAAAAAAAAACAAGTCCTACACTGACGATTCCTACAATACTTTATTGGCTGATTCAAATGGCAGTAATTGGTTTGCAGGGCCCGGTTTTTCAAAAGGTTAAATCCAGATAAAATTGATCTGGATTTAGTAATCCTGTTTTTGCGATCCATGATCCAGCTTACTTTTTGAGCCAGTTTTTCAAAGCAACATCGGATTGGATCAATCTGATTCGGATAGGAACTTTTCAGGATTACTAAATCTGGATTATCAGTGCTTAATCACAATGTAGAACTATAGATAGGCCTTTGTAAAGAGCAACAAGTAGAATAGCCAGTTTGGGGTCAATATAACTTCATTTTTATTTGAAATTAAAACACACCCATTTAAAAAAAAAAAAAAAAAAAAAACTAAAAACAAGAAAACCCCACCCTATCCTCTTCCAGCAGTCCGCTCATCTGAGATCACTGTACATTGAGGACATTTATAAGTTTCAAATATAGATGTATTAAATAAAAAAAAAGACAATGTTAAAACCTCAACAATAATTTCAGACTTCCTCATCTGATGTGGAGAGACCAGCTTGTCTGAAGCAGGTCGCACACCAGAAGCGCCGCTCGGCGCCGCGACACGGCGCGTACATGACAGTTTAAGGTATCACACACCAGACGCGCACATTCGAATGATATTTAACATGAAACTAATCAGATGGCGCTCTGTGGCGCGGCTGAAAAATGAACTGCGTCCTGAGCCGTCGCCGGGCGCCGCCGACAGCCGCCGACTTGCGGCGCCGGTGTGTGTATCCTGATAGAAACCTATGTTTAGAATTCTAAAATACATGGCGCTGCGTGGCGCTGCGCGGCGCGCCGCCGAGCGGCGCTTCTGGTGTGCGACCTGCTTAAGTGTAGCCTTTAGGTTTCAAGATTTGATCCAATCCCTTATCCAAAACCCTAAGTGGATTGGTTTTGAAAAACCAGGCCCTGATGTTCTCTATAATTAATAAAGGGGAAAGATGTCAGTGGCACAATACAGTATATCCAACACAGTTCATAATACTCCAGTCTATACAAACTGGTCAGAAACTCTAGACTCCTGTTACATCACAGTAGCAGGATATACATAGGTCCATAAATATTTGGACATCGACACAATACTAATTTTAAGCTCTATACACCAACACAATGGATTTGAAATGAAAAAGGAGTTTTAACTGCAGACTGTCAGCTTTAAATTGAGAGTATTTACATGCAAATCAGGTGAACAATGCAGGAATTACAACAGTTTGCATGTGCAGAATTGGACAGAATAATAATCATAAATCAAATTTTTACTTTTTAATATTTGTTTGCAAATCCTTTGCAGTCCTAGTGGATGACTTCAGCCTGAAGTCAGGAACGCATAAACATCACTATAAGCTGGATTTCATTCCTGGTGGTGCTCTGCCAGGCTTCTACAGCAGCTGTCTGCTGTTCCTGCTTGTTCTTGGGGCATTTTCCCTTCAGGTTTTCTAAAGCATGCGAGATACATGCTCAATTAGATTCTGGTCAGGTGAATGACTTGGCTATTGCATAACATTCTATTTTTTTTTTCCCCTTTGGATGCTTTTTATTTGTTCAGAAGGCTTTGGGTCATTCTCCATCTGTACTGTGAAGCGCTGTCCAATGTGTTCTGAAACATTTGGCTTAATAGAAGAAAACTTTCCCTGAAACGCTTCAAAATTCATCCTGCTGCTTTTGTCAGCAGTCACATAATCAATAAATACAAGAGAACCAGTTCCATTGACAGCCATACATGCCCACGCTATGTCACTACTACCACCACTGCTAAGGATCTTAAGCAGTTCCTTCTCCATACTCCACCCATCACTCTACAAGTTGATCTTAATCTGTGCATAGGATTTTTAGAACTCCAATCTGGCCTTGCTGTTTTGAGGCTCACCAATGGTTTACATCTTGTGGTAAACCCTCTGTATTCACTCTGCGTTAGAGTCAACAATCAAGAGAACACCTACACTACATACCCCTACCTCCTGGAGAGTGTTCTTGATCTGGCCAACTGTTGTGAAGGGTATTTTCTTCACCAGTGAAAGAACTCTTTAGTTGTCCACCACAATTATTCTCTGTGGTTTTCGGGGTCTTTGGGTGTTGCTGAGCTCACTGGTGTGTTCTACCTTTGTAAGAATGTTCCAAACAGTTACAATTACTTTTGGACCCTTAACAAGTGGGAAGCACATCTGCAAACTGTTGTAATTCCTTCAGCGCTCACCTGATTTGGATGCAGACTGTCAGCTTTAATTTGAGGGTATTTGCAGTTAAAGCACATCTTGTTAGTTTCATTTCAAATCCATTGTTAGTGTATGGTGTCAAAAAATGTTAGAATAGTGTCGATTTCCAAATAAATATGAACCTAAAATGTTTATGAAGGGTCAATTTGCAAAGAGACAACTTTTTGATATGTTTTATGCTGTGCATTTAAGAGTACAACTGCAAAAAAAAAAAAAAAAAAAAAACCCTATTTATGAAAATTATTAAAACTGGACATTTTAATAGTTTTCAAATGGCAATAAACTAGATTACCAAAAAAGTGAGAAATTATTTTTTTTTTTAAACCTTTTCACACATCACCCTTATAAACTATAAGAGTTAAGAAATTGCGGCAACTTTACCAGCCACACAATGGATGGAAACAAAGAGATATAGTGCTATATTCCAACTCTATATCTACATTTCATGGTTTTTACAATGATTATACCTCTTGAAGTCAGGACTTTCTGTATTAAAAATTGTACAAAATGTATCCTAAAATGAAAGAGAAACAAGTTAGAGGTGAATGAGCTGGCAGATTAGCTAATCAAATTTGCTCAGAGAAATGCTATTGCTGTCAAAGATGGAGTCAGTTTAGGGTTTAGGAAGAGACTAATCAGATATCCTATTTATGGAAGGTTTGCAAGGAAATGTCATTCTTTCTTGTAAAAGTAGGTATTCTGTAGTATTTCCAAAATAGAATATTTTATTTTGATATTTAGTGGCTGCTGTAATTTGTAGTTTATCTTGAAACATGTAAATTTGAGTTATTTGGTATTTTATTTTAAAATACATTTCAATGTATTTTTGCCCATCACCGCCTACAAGCATAGGGTAACAGATATATCGTTTGATGACTACAGAGTAATGTGATGAAAGCTGTGGAACATGTATGAAAATAGTAAAGGTACAACTGTGCGGGTAAGGAGAAACCTGCCTCTATACATCTGATCATCCAAAGAAGGAAACTAAAAGGAAGGCTTTGGGTTTCAGAAGCGTGTCATTGATCTGCAACACGAGCAGAACGAACACAGAAACCCTGTTGTCAGCTGCATGCTTTAAATACCAGCACCATCTACAGGATGTGAACAGAAACTTTACCAGGCTACATGAACAGTAATTAGGTAAATTAATGTGATCCTCTCACAATTTCTCAAAACAGTTCTGGTTTATTATAATTTACAAGACTGTAAGTAACAAATTCATTAAAACAGTTTTGCTTAAACAAAAAGATGGTCCCGGCCTTATACAACACAAGCTCCAATTTGATGCCTTAACTAAATATATATCGTTCTAGCATGAGAATCTAGGAAAAGTTCTCCCTTTTCTTTTTTTAGACCGTCAGTACTGGTTACATAGGCATGATCATCTTTGAGATATTTTTATACATAAACAGCAAGAAGTGCATTATTCATAAGTCTTAAAACAAAATAGCAAACCCCATAAATTTTGCCTATTACCATTGGTTAGTAATGCCTGTTATTTTTATAATGATAATTATTCTCTTTCAAAGCCAGTATTAACAAATGCTTCTAAAGATCGCCTCAAAGTTGTTTTTTAGATTTGCCATTAATTGTCATTTGTTGAATTTTAACAGATAAAAATGTATCTTCAAAAAGGAATGCTGAAAACTCAAGGTCTTAAACAGACTCTTTAATAATGACTCATTTTCATGGTCTGTAAAAATGCAAAATTAGTAGATTCATATTTTGAGATCTTTTACATTTTACTAATACCTATTAACAACTTTGAAGTGATCTGTACATAAGAAGCTGTACATTTAGTCACCTTAGAATTAAGATTCTATCTGATGTGTCAAAATAATTATTGACATTCTTATTAAATGACAACTTACATTATGGCATTTTTATACAAGTCGTTTACAACAAAAAAAACATAATAATAATTATAATGTTACACACACACAGTTTGCTATTAAATGCAAAAACGTTGTAGCTCAAAATCATTCAGAACGCAGACAGAACCTTGTAATTCCAAGGTGACAATTTGTTAAACTGATTATGTTTACCCAGTAACTACTGAGAGTCTGAATGTCTCTGGTTACTGGTGAGGCATAGTTCATCCGTTTTTGCAGGTAACCGTTTGTCCATCATGTGAATAGGGATGACAATCTCTCCTGGGAAACTGATATTAGAGCCCGTTAATGGAGCTTCAACTGAGAGAACACCATCTGGAGACAGCATGGAGCTGATCTGTTTTAGGTCTAAGTCAGCCGGAAGCCTAATAAATTACACAAGAAAAAAATAGAGTGATTGGAGCAACAGCCTGAAGAACTATAATTTATGCAAATGTTTTGAGTAAAAATAAATAAAATAATAAAAAAAAAAAAAAACATTTCTGTTGAGTTTTAGACAGAACTTATTTAAATTACTTTTTTTATATACAGGACATACTACATGTAGAGACCGACAGGCTTACTTGTATTTTCTTGCAAAGCTTCTTGAGATCAGCCTGTGATTTTCCTGTCTTTCCTCGTGATTACCTGTAAAAGAAAAATGTTAACTTAACAAACATGCCACTGAAATCCTTGGGATATATATATATATATATATATATATATATATATATATATATATATATATATATATATATATATATATATATATATATATATATATATATATATATATATATATATATATATTATTATTTTTTTTTTAATAAACAAATACATGCCTCAAAGATTCCTCCGACAACATTTATATCCATCACATACCTGTTATTTCCAAGTATCCGTCCCTGGTTTTGACGCTTATCTCTTCTGGAGAAAAAGGACCGACATCTAGACAAACTTTCCAGTCTTGCTCTCCTATCATTTGTTCACACACAGCATCAGAAACGTGTCCTTCAGATCCAGAACATGGTTTAGATGGAATCTCCTTGCACAATGAGCTGAAGAGAGGAAAAGGCATCGATCCTGGCCAACTTGATGTCCCTAGTCTCTTCCTGGCTGATTCTATCCAGCTAACCTCATCAGGTTCAAGAAAATGGGGGAGGTTGCCGTTTTCGCTGAAAAGAGTCTTTTGTGGCTGCTCGTGAAGAGGGTCCCAGCAACCATTTCGATAAAACAAAGGACGAGACATGTTTTAAAGAAAAATACTCTGTTTTGGTCTTAATACCTGATGCCAAGACAGTAACAATTACCCAGACTTATGAAAAATCTACAGGAAGTTGCCACTGACTTCTTTTATACTCTCCTTGTCTATTAAAACCTCATCCCAGATTATACAGTTATCCAGCCCCAAACGTCAACAAAAAGGCTTTCACTCCAGTGTTACAATTTGACTTGCACAGAATGATGCCATCCTGTTTGTATTAATAGAAGTGGAGGGTTAATGGCAAATTCTTGGCGCATGACAATAGGTGCACTGGCAATAACAGAGGCCTCTGTATTCTGGTCACATCTCAGTACTTTTCTTTCCCATGGTGATGAACTTTGTTGCACAACAGCATGTACTCACAGCTTCTATCTCAGCTCTAGAGAATCCCTCAGTCTTGTAAACAACATTTACAACTACATGCGCAACACCAATTATTTTTGTACCCGATTATAAATTAAGAGCAAAAGACAACAAAAAATAAACCCAAACAGCGCTAGATTTGTCTTTTTTAATGAATAATTAGGATTAAGCATTTTACTTAATTATGAATGCACAGGAATACTTGCATAGAGGAAAATCATGTCCATTAACATGAATTTTTTTTTTTTTTTACTTTCCTTCAATTACAACCCTACATCAGCTACTTCACTGTGCAGCTCATTTCACATGTGACTTGGGGTTGATCAGTGAGAAAGGCACAGAAATAGACTACAGGAGATATACAGTGTGAATGAGAACAGCAGAGCACAGAATACAAGAGTTTTCTAAACAGTGCTTTTCCAAGTAGTAGAACGCTGCAGTGCTTGTGTGGCCCTCTCGCTCAGCAGCTCTGGGTCAGCAGGAGTGTACTGAAATAAAATACAACACCTAATTAATTTAGATTTTATAATAAACCTCATGTACTGTTGGGGATCCACTCTGGGGTGATTGAGTCAATTCGGCCATAGCTTTTTTTGCGTTTTAGCTAGCAAAATTATTTTAGATAAATCTTATTTTGAAAATCTTTAAATAAAAAAAAATAAACTCGAGCCAAATTTACTACAACACATTAATGCATCAGATTAATATATTTTACAAATTTTTTTTTTTTTTTGCGAAAATCTGTTCACCTCAGTTCTGAATCAAAACTACCTAAAGAGTTAAAATGCTGTCATTATTAATTGCCAAATTCATAAATCAAGTCATTGATTTGGTAAAAGAACAAAATGACGTATTTTCAATATAAAAAAGTAATTGTGGACTGGATTTAAGCTTTTATCCCTGTCTTGGTGACAACCAAGACAACATTGACTTTGATTTTAATTTTTCCTCCCTAATTTACTGTTGGTGGCTGTTTTTCTCCATTGACTTTCATTATAACGGCGTTTTTTGATTACAAAACAATGACACCATATAATGATGCATTTCTGATTTTTGATGGTTTTTCCTGTTGGGAAGATGTAAAATTAGTAATTTTGACTGCTGATTATCCGGTAGCACCCTTTAGGCTTGTGCAAAAAAAAAAAAAAAAGCTTAGTTTCTAGATATTTTATGAAGTATAACAGAAAATTAAAGTGTGTATGTATCTGAATGTGTGGCAGTGACCTTTGTGCACTTCCCTTGATGTCATTAAGTCAAAACATGCATGCAGCTCTCAGAAATGGAGTAAACAAAAACAAAGACTGCGCACAAATATGGTTATTATGGAAGCAAATGGGGCAAAAACAGCCACTGACTGTAAATTTAGGGAGGGAAAAAGAAAGTGAAAAATCTAACAATACATCAAAGGAAATGTTCTTATAAATCTTTCACATGTCCAAGACTGTGACAAAAGGTTAAAAAAAATCCAGTCCACAATTACTTTTTATATTGGAAATAAGTCATTTTGTGTGTGTTTTTTTTTTTCACCAACTTGGCAATTAAACAGTTAAAATCCTGTAATTTAACAATTTAGTAGTTTTGATCAGAACTGAGGTTGATTTCTGCAATATAATTTTTTTAAATTATATTTCTACCTATATTTAACCCTAACATATAGCTGAATTGACATTTCATTAGCATGTTCTTTGATATACAAATAAATACTGCAAGCTTCAGAACTCAAAAGCAACTCCTTGTCTGAATATATATAATTCCCATGTATCGTACTGAAAAAAAAAAAGTCATTATATAATGCATGATTGAATGTAATCAAAGAGAAATATGTTGAGTGAGAATCAAACTTCCATATTGCTCTTTCAGTGAATATAAAATGATGCAAATCCCCAAATAACACCTGAATGCAATGCATGGGTGAAGTGTTTTTTGATGATGTGCCAGAGGCTGAAAAAAAAAAAAAAAAAAGTTCATCCTTTTCTAAGATTTAAAAAGACTGAATTTTTCTTAACATGCTGCGGGCAGATTAAAAATAGATGTTGGAACTGAACTATGAAAGCTATGGATTTTTTAATAATAATAATAATAATAATAATAATAATAATAATAGATTAAACTAAATCAATCCAATTTTTATAATCTAAAACTGTACATAAACAAATTAACAATAAGAATGTATTCAGATTCTCACCAGCAGTGGTAACTTTCAGGCAAAGGGATTTCCCCCAAACGGGTCTCCAAAAGCATCTGCAAGAGCAGCATTCTGAGTGGCCGGAGTGCTCTATAATATAAAAGCACAATGAAATTAACACACAAAACCTGATTAAACATGTAATCACAAAAACTGACTCTTTTAAGATTTCCCGAATTTGTCTCGCATGACAAAATTGACGCTGAAATTTCACAGTGTGAGCAGGGCTTAAGGTTTACAGGTTTATTTATTTATTTTTTTTAGTACAACAGTATCTCCAGCAGTAAAGATATCCAAAGATGTGTTTTTAAATTGTAATGAAATCTGTGTTTTTGAAACTAATGAAGACAGCAGAAGTCAATGATTCATTTGAATTATCTAGCCTGACATGTTTAACGCTCCAAAATACTTTAAAATGTTTCTTAAAACAAAATATATTGTTTTTACCCAGACAATTATATTTTAGAGCAGTAATCACAGTACCATGATGGTTATCATACCATCAGAATCTTATACCGGCCCATGGCTACACAGTACAACAGTAATACACAGCAACTCTATGAAACGTCCGAACTCAAATGTACATACTGTGTTCATGAGTGGTGCCCCAAATGGGTTCACTCCAAAAGTGTCATCAAAAAGATCTGTGCCTGCTGCAGGAGCTGGGTTTGTGGGTGCAGGGACTGGATTTGAGGAGAAGGCCACATCCAAAAGCCCTGTGGCTGGAGCTGGGATCAAACCTGCTGCCTGAGGTATTGCATCCATAGTAGGGATCAGCTGAGAAGCAGGTTTGGAAGTCCCTAAACATAAGAGCAACTGCAATTATCAAATGATAACCAAACAAGCACCTCATTTTAATTAGCTGATGATTATTAAATGTATACCATTGGAGTTAGCTGAGATTTGGTTTATTTCAAAGTCATCATGATCTGCTGCATCTTGAGCCAAGCCAACCTTGTTGGAAAAGTACTGATCAAATGAGCCATTGGTGTTTGGATCAGGCCCTGGTTCAGGTTTCTGGGGTTTAACCATCTGGAAATTTTTGAACATGTCTTTTCCAGATTTACTCTCCTTCTCCCCGAGGGGGTCCAAAGCTGTAAAGGCACTTTTGACCACTGGGGGCTCTTCTTTCACTGGAGGACGGGGTGGAGGGCGAGGAGGAGCTACTGCACCCTGCTGCATTCCCATCATGGCATTGGGAGGCATCATGGGAGCAAACTGGTTTGGTTGGAAAGGACTAGCCACAGGACCAGGAGCAGGCCACGTCCCAACAGGTGCTGCGGCTCCCGGTTGACCCCAGGCTTGTGTGCCAGCTGGTGGACCGAAAGGCGAAGCTCCTTGCTGCCCCCATGCAGGTGCAGACAGGCCTCCAAAGGCAGACGGCTGAGGAAAAGGTCTTGGAGGTCCTGGAATTGTTACCTGAACACCGGCCTGAGGGGGGAACATTGTGGGTGTCTGACCCCAAGAGACTGGAGCTGTCCCAGGAGCATGGCCAAGAGACATGGACCCTACAAATTATGAAAATATTAAAATACGAAAAACAGTTAATGTTTAGGGGGGGGGGGGGGAAAGTGGGACAAAAGGAGTAACGTAGTGACAGAAATCAGGGGGAAATTTTACATCTTTGAACTTGATTTAAAACATTGTGTGGATATAGATTTGCTAATTACATTGCATAAATGAGTTCGAAAGGTATAAAACTTTGACATGTGTTCCACACTTTAAATGTTATAATTGCATTCATTTATTATGTCTCTGCATAGAGAACGGCTGCTAATCATATATACAAAGGAGAACAAAAGAACGCTTTATTTCCAGTAAATTAGATTTTTAATTTGATTTAAAAGCTAATATGTTGCCAAAATTGCCAAATAAATGTCATTAAAAAAACTAATTTCATGTTTTGCTCCTTCAAATTTGATTTTACTCATATTCATAGATTTGATTGTTTTGATCTGACTGGCTTTTGAAAGCTAATGGTTTCCCCTGCAAACATCACTTTTGGCCTTTGCTATGTGGGGAATGTAATAAAGAAATTAATAAAAAAATAAAATAAAAATAAAAACATTTTCATTCTGCTTCTAAAAACAACAATATTTAAACAAATTTTGAAATAGTTTCTCACATGCTAGAGTATAATGATAATAAATTGCATTATACCAAAAGCATTGATGGTGGAGGATGGTGTGGAGTTGAACAGGTCTGCTGGAATGGAGGCGTTCTGATTTGATGCCTGAGACTCATTTTGGGCAGGTGGAGCAAACAGTCCAGATCCAAACAGGTCATTTCCTGGTGACTGCAGATACACATTGATCATTTTAATACTTTAAGATAAATTAGACAATACTTAAGAGCCCACAACTATAGCTATATCTAGTACTTACACCACACATTTCAACTGAAGGGAAAAAATAAAATTATAATAACAATATATAAATAAAATACATAAAAATATATAGATGCCCTTCTAAATAGCTCATGAAATGAAAATACAGCTAATCTTAATACTAATATTTGCCATGACATTGCTGCGCACAACCAAAATTAAGAAAAAGATCTTTGGAATCAGTGAATTCAGATTAGTTTAGAGCATAAAACTTAGTCAACTCACTATACAAGGACAACAATGTCATGTCACTCAACAGGTTGTGGCAATTTAAATCCCTATTTCACCACGTGTCTCTGAAGAAGAAAAAAAAAAAAAAAAAAAAGCTGCACACCTTTGCCAAAACCATAATTCCAGTGTTCTAGGAGACAGACTACAAGGACTTTAGGAAAAATCATTAAATCGACACTAGGCATGAGATGACTAGTTTCAAGGTTTACCGCGGTTTGGAAAAAGTCAAGGTTTTAAAACTGCGAAAATTTTCTGTAATACCGGTCCTCAGGTATATGAAAGGTTTTTAATGTGTTGTAAAGAAATCTGTTTTTTAAACTAAAGAGAGCAGAAGACACGTTTACTGCTCCAAAATTGTATAACTTTTTCCTAAAATAGGTGTTTAAATGGGAAAACAAAGCTTTTGATTTTTTTTTAACCGACATTTAAAAGAATATATTTTAGAGCAGTAATCACAATACTATGAAACAGTGATCTTTTTATCCAAAAGTTATCATACCTTCAGAAACCTATACCAGCTCATGCCTAATCAACGCATTCTTTGTCAAGCCTCACTGCACAGACACAGGAGGAACATAGAATATCCTGATTTTTTAAACTTCAGTCCTTTTAGTCTCTCTCTGCATTTGGATGTGCAGTCGTGCAGGGGTGCATTTCCCAAACAACGATGTAACGCCCAGCTGAACTATCATGGTACGATGCATCATTTGGGAAAAGAACGATGTAGTGACTAGTGTTTACCAAAACGCAGTTTCTCTGTCGCAGATCCATCGCTTGAACCACGTTAGTTATACCGTAAAACGCCCATAAAGACGCTCTAAACTGGGTGGAGTAACTTCTTTAGAGAAGAACCCTTTAGTTTCTTTGTGCAAATTTTAAATAATTTAAAATAAAATCCAATAATAGATTTGGTAAACATCACTCGCTTTCCATATTAATTAAAATATATGGCACATATAGGGCCTATGATTCCTTCACAAATGTTATTGACAATGACATATATTCTAAAACATAAAATCACTTACAAAAGCAAACACGTATTCTAATATCATATATAAATTATATAAATAAATTCATAAATTAGGCGATTTAACAAGAAATGAAATTTAATAATTGTGTATTAGAAATAAAAAAACATACCTTTATAACTCTTAATTATTATTATTATTATTATTATTATGTAGGATATTGTTTATTTATTTTTTTAAAGGTCTACTTTTACAATTTGACACTTGTAAACCACAGCAGAAGGTTCTAACCAGCAGGCCCATGTCATGTACAGAACAGATACTTAATAAATAACCTACTATAAATAACCTATTATAAATCTCCACCAATCAGCTGGTGTGTGGTGTGCGGTCTGGCGCAAAATGGCTGCCGTCGCGTCATCCAGGTGGATGCTGCACACTGGTGGTGGATGAGGAGATCCCCCTCATTGTGTGTAAAGCGCTTTGAGTGCCCAGAAAAGCGCAATATAAATGTAAGGAATAATTATTATTAAAAGAATTAACGTATGCTTTTTGTTTTCACAAGCTTTGGAGAGGTAACATTCTGCTTTTAAATAGGTCACTTACAGCTTTCGCCATGAGGCCGTGTTTAAAATTCTATCAATGTTTTCAAAGTGAACTGTGAATGAGCACAATTGTAAACATCAAGATAGGTAAAACTGAACTGTAAAAATAGTTTGAAAAGCAAATTACACCTAAGAGAGAGGACCTTGATGCTTTGGATAACTTTGAATGTTAGTGTTCTAAATGAATAGGTCATAGGGGGCATAAGTGGGAATAGAACACAGCCAGGAACTAGGTTTCGAACTACAGCTCCAGAGGTATAGTTGAGAATGCTCAAGTTTGCGACGCAGTTTGCAAAGGTTTGTTGGAGCAACAGACTTGGGAAACGGCAAAACCAACAAACTATGTTTGTAACGACGGAACTTGCAACCTTAGTTGACTAACGATGGTTTTGGGAAATGCACCCCAGAATGAGACCTCACTAAGTTTCTCTTAATCAAACGTTCACCTTCTCTCTCCTCCGTGCACATCTAGGCTTTAGGTTTTGAGGTGGAGGGCAGAGGGCTGTCAAACCTCCGTTTTGAACAGTAGTTGAGGGGTTGGTTTGGAACAATGCCAATTGCTTATTGGATCCATTACACAGAGGAGCTTGGAGGACAGGAGGATCTGAGCTGTATAACCCATTTACGATGGGTGGGTTGTTCAATGAGATGCTCAAAAAAGGATTCTGACTAAAGATGGAATTGGTGCCACCATTCAGATCACTTATCGGTAGCTGCTGTACTTGATTATTTGGACTCTCGTTTGATAACTGAGAATCAAACAGTTTATTGAACTGTTGACTTTTTGGAGAGGGGTCTTCACTTGAGTCTGGCCCGTTCAGAAGAAAACTAGAAAAATCTGACTCGTTATTGGAGGAAAACACAGAATCTGATTGATCATTCAAGGGAGAAAAGGGATCGTCGCTGAAGGGATCTGAACTCAGAGTTGGGAAAAGATCTGATGTGGATGAAGCCGATTTGTCAAATGGTTTATTGCAGAGGGGAGATGGGTTTGTGATGAAAGGATTGTCTTGATTTACTTGATTGCCATCAAACAAATCGGATAACTCAAGCAGCAGAACACTGTCAGGCTGGTTTAAGAGAGAGAAAGAAAAATAGGTAGATTCTGTGAAACTGAAAAAACAAATTGGCTAGAATGAACAATTTCTGATTGTACAATCATACAGCATCCGTAATATGAGATGAAAGATTCAAACATTAAAAGCATACAACAGCTTTATTCATTTTTACCCCATATTAAAATGTCTTTATTTTTTTATTAGCAAAAACAAAAAAAGTACCATATTACCATGATTTCTAGACGACTGCAATGACCCTCTCCTTCAAACCACTAAAGACTAATAAGTTGAATAAGTTACTAGAAATGTGAATGCTTTTACTTGCATTTTAAGTCTTTTTTAATAGTAATTCAACACCAAAACAGGACGTATCATCTTTGAGCCACACTCTAACACAATGCAATTGAAGTGTACTCTTCCTTATTTTTTGTGTTTGGGAGCCATCTGCTGGCCAATAGGACCTTCCGAAAAATAAAACCTGCCAATGAGCTTTTAACTCATGTTAAAAACAGGCACTAAAAATGCTCGAGTCCCTTGAATCAAGGACTGTTGAATGGCCTTTGTTAAAGTGTAATAAATAAACTATATTTGGAATATGCAAAGAAACAAACATGACAAGAAATCATGCTACGAATGTCTCAATCTTAGTTCACCCCACTCTAAAACCTGAGAATGTTTAAAGTTTATTAAATGTGTTCCATAAACATCGCAAGCTTGTACACTGTAGGGTCATTACCGTAGGAGAATGAATGTCAGGTGGAGTGGACATATCACCAAACAGGTTCATCTGCTCTACACTCTGAGAACACACAAAAGTCATCCAAGTCAATTTCTGTGGAATATAGTCAATGTAATTTTCCATGAAGCACTTACTTTTACAGGGTTTTCATTTCCATCCACAGCGAGTAAAGCATCGCCACCATTCTAATATCAGAACATAAAGACAAATAACACATGAAAGACCACGTTAAAATAAATACTGCTCTAATACTGTACACAGTGTTCACACCCACCTCAGTGCCATTTCCTTCACCCTGAAAAACAGTAAATGTGTGTCAATAAAACAACATTTTTCAGAACAATATTGCTTTATTTTTTAAAAGCAAAAATTTATAACATTATCTAAAAGTTACTTTAGCTTTTATCATAAATATTATATGCACATCACCTTTTGTCCAGCCTCCTGCTCTTTCTTCTTCATATTAAAGATCAACTGAAACAGATCCTTCAAATCAATGACTAGAGGCTCAGCCTGCAAGAGACAAATTGTGCGAAGATAATCAAGTGTTCTTCCACGTTTTGCATAATCCATCACATCCAATCGTCAAATCTGTATTCATTGATATTTTCCCATTCGATAGACTAACCTGCTGAGCTGTTTTAATAGCAAAAAACTGATGCTGGCCCTCTGCTCCACAGACATAGCCAAATGCCCGGTTATCAGTGACATCACGAGCAATGAAGGAGATCTTATTCACCACATGTTCATGCTCAATCACCTGACAGAGAGATGATATGCACAGAGCATGATGACAAAGAGCTTTCTAAAAAAATTCAGTTCTGACTTTTAGATTTACTGAAAAGTCTCTGGAACCGCTCACCCCAGTTTTCTCATCAACAATTTTGATTCCTGTTAAAGAGATGTTTATCCATATTCTTTGCTTGTGCTTGCCTTGAGAACGAGCAGCTATTGCCATGCCCTGCACACAAAAAAAAAAAAAAAAAAAAAAAAAAAAAAAACTGTACAATTAACCAACAATAATTATGATAAAATAATAATAACGGCATAGTCATGTCTCTATAAAAAGACAAAATTGTAAACTTACATCAGTTTTATTTAAAATTGGGATTTAATTCTCACAAAGTAATGCAATGCATGTTAGAATGCAGCAAGAGTCATGGTATAAATCTGTATTGTGACTTTAAATTAAGACAAACAAAATATATATTTTAGCTTTTTTTTTTTTAACTTCTGCAATGAAAATAAAAACCAAGAGCAACCATTTTTGTCATTGTGTAAATGAATCTGTGAATGAGTCAATGATTCAATTATTAAATTCATTAAAAGACTCACTTGCTAAGTGTCTAAAGACGATTATTGTCATACATTAAATCTGGGATTTGTATTAGTCCCCGTTTGTCCTTGATAAGCCTAAACCAGAAAAGGGAGTTACTAGCATAAATAAAAAAAAATAATTAAAAAAAGTTTAATTATTGTCAAAAACCTCAACAGAAACACATTTACCCTCAATATTGCACATCTTTAAAGGTTAAAAAAAAAACCTCAAGTACTTTTGAGATTAACAGATGTGTGTGCCAATTTCATCTTGTGAATTTTAAAACATTTTTGGGGTGGGATAAAAATCAGTGATGTAGCACACAATTGCTAGTGGAGTGATGACGTGTTGGTTTCTCATTATTATTCATAGGCGAGTTTTCCCATCCTATGAGAAGACCCTGCTTCATACTTATTCATGACTGCACTCCGATGACAGACTAATATGGACAAACCAGACCAGCCAAACTGCGAGACAGCATTAAAATTACTGTTTATTTCTTTGCAATTTAACTTTTGTAAACTAAAATCATGCGTCATCTCACATTTAGCATCAGATTATTTATATATGTATATATATATGTATATATATATATATATATATATATATATATATATATATATATATATATATATATATATATATATATATATATAAAATCTGATGCAAAATGTGAGATGACGAGCATCTAGCACTGCAAGAAGCGGGAGTGGCAGGCAGAGCAGAGGAAAAAAAAAAAAGGGTTTTTGTCAGTGAGCTTCCCAGCTCATTCATTCATTCATTCATTCATTCATTCATATATATATATATATATTCATATATATATATATATATATATATATATATATATATATATATAGATAGAGAGAGAGAGATAGAGATAGGGAGAGATAGATAGAGATAGATAGAGATAGAGAGAGACTCACTGACAAAAACCCTTTTTTTTTCCTCTGCTCTGCCTGCCACACCCACTCCCGCTTCTTGCAGTGCTAGATGCTCTTCAAGCACTTCTGAGATAGACTTGAACTGAAAGAGGGGTGGTTTTAGATCCACATGAAAAATAAATAAATAAACAAACCACAAGCAGCCATCTTGTAGCAGTACCTTCAGTTTCATCATGGAATCCTGACACATTTTATCCCCTCTTGCATCTTGAACATCATCCACACCAATAAGTTTGGCTTTATATCTCACTCCATCACCCTGAAATCTGGCCAAGAGGAACTCGTCTGTCTTCTCTGGGACTGTGAAGAAAGAAAAGGAGGAAAAAAAAAAAAAAGACAAACTCATTTAATAGTAAAAAAAATAAAAATTTAAATCTGTGCAGAGTTATTGCTAGATATAGATGAAGGCAGACTGTACTTTTTCTCCTTTCTTTCCAGAATGAAGTTCTGGTCACGGGTGCAGTGGTTATTGTGACAGATGCTGATTCAGTGGTCGATGCTGGTTCTGCTGGTACCACAGTAACAGTTTCTGCTTCAGGTGACTGTGACATGGTGAGTGGTTGTTACAGGACAAATGAAAGAAAAAGTGTGGGAGGGGGGGGGAAACAGCAGCCCAGAGGCAAAAATGAAGGGGGGGAAACACAGGTGGGATATTCAGCAAGCACACATTCTCAGCGCTGGGCCTGGATGGAGATAAAAAAAAAATAAAAATAGACAGACAGAGTTAGCCTAAAATTAGATTATATATATATTGTAAATGAAAGAAATCATTTTTCATTGGCGTCATTCACTGCAATACAAACTACAAATACACTGTATATTTGTAGGCCAATAAGTAGAAAGATAAAACAGACATATAGGACAAGATTGTGATGATTGTCAGAGCCTGATAATTAAAAAATAAATAAATAAATAAACAAATAAATAAATAAAAAAGTAGAAGTGTAAGCTGATTTTATATCAATAAACCCGCAGACAAGGAAACAGATCTTGTATAAAAAATAAATTTGTTAGAACACAAAAAAAAAAGAAAAGAAAAACAAAGTACCTGTAGTGTCCAACTTACACCATGATCAATCATTTAACAATTTTAAATATCAGGCAGATACAGATGTCAAAAAAACACTGTGCATTTCTAAAAATGTATTCAGTCACAAGAACAATTTTCCCCTGCTTTCACATACAACCAATTTAGCTGATTTGAAAAAGAAAAAAACCAACAACCATGCATTAACATGTTCCATTTCAGAAAGTCTCAATGCGCACATCAAATACAACTGCAAGCTAGAATCATAGAGCTATAGATTCTGCTAGTGAAAAGGGCAGAGGAAGAAGAGGAAACCATGTCAGCAGGAAAACACTTCCTGCTTAGTAGGCAAAACAAAACAAAAAAGTGTCAAATAAGTTTTCCCATTCCTGAAATATAATACAGGAATCAAAATTACATTAAGGGAAAAATCTTCACAAGGCTGCAAGTATAGTCCCTCATTTAAGGAGTACACCTAATCTCCAAATGTAAAAGCAAATTTCCATCATGGAATCAATAAAGTGCAATTTAAATCAAAACCGATATCCTGTAACCATAAGAAATGATAAAAAACACAGAATCATCATCATCATCACCACAACCACCATTTACTCAGAACAAGGACGAGGCTGTTCATCCCAACCAAAATCAGTTCCGCCACTCAAGAAGATACACCAACAAACAAGTAACTTCTGCAAAGACTTCAGTTAAATCTAATTGAACCACCTTATTCAAACAAAGCAGGATCATTTGACAAAAAAAAGAGAAAGAGAAATTAAATAGTCTGAAAGACATACCTTATGAGCAGAAAACAACGCTTAGTTGTGTATTTCTCAGCAGAGAGAGGAACGAGACAGCAAGAGCAAAGGTGGACTGATCAAAGGTTGAGCAATTAAAACTTGTTAATCCTTTTCCAACAGCTCATCTGCCCTAAAAACACATCGCAAATCTCATGATTCTCAAGATTAACCAAACATCTATCAGTGTTTCTCCTGGGGCAGAATTACTTTTCCCAGTTTCTATGGAGGGAAACAAATCTGATGAACTCAGATTATCTGTTCCTGATCCAAGATGAATTTGTAATGACCCATATGTAGACAAGCTTATGCATTTACATAACTAGTGCAGCAAATGCCAAAATGCAGTGAAAATAGCTGAAAGATAAATATACAAGGGCTCATTCCAATAGCAGACACATCCAAACGAATGCCAATTGCCATCTAGCGTTAACGTTTTATAATTAACCCAAAGTACTATCTGGTCATAAGACCATCAGCAGCGTGCTCATCAGTTTCTTGCACAAGGAGATAAATAAATAAATTTAAGTAGAAGAACATATTAAAGTAGAAAGTATTTCTCAAGTAGAAATACATATTTCGCATACCCTAAATAAGATTAAACAACATCTGAAATAGGCTAAATCTAGTTATTGACTAAACAACAAAATTACTTCTAGAAAAATTTAAAAGAGGTAAACCTTGATATGGTAAAACGGTGATGTTTTTATGACCCTCAACAGCTGACAAAGACAGCCCGAAGCAGAGATATGAACAGTTTATCAGCAGAGTTATGATTATCAAGAGCGGAAAACAGTGGCACAATTGCTGTAAGATAACTCATTACAGCAGGTTGTGCAGGGTCAAACATGAGACAACCATAAAACAAGAGTAGCAAGAGATGTGAAAAAAAGAGAAGTTTTCTGCTTTACAAGTGTTCAAATCTGCATCCCATCTCACATGAGGACATGATATAATAGTGATAACATTTTACACGACTAATAAATCTTTTTGCTGTGAAGTGGAAGTATAAGTTACTTTTTAACATGCAGCTTTGGGGCCAATATATTCATACCAGTTGTAATGCACATATTTTACAAGCAACAACCAGTTAAACAGCTTAATATCAGTCATTTCCTGCAGCTGTTCAGCTAATCAAGAGAGTTAAAATATCTTACAGCTTATCATTAAAAGCACAGGTATTTAAAAAGAATTTTAAAAAAAATTAACGGGTGTCCATGTAATGTCTACCAATTCATAGATGTTGCATAATCCCTCAATTATTTTAGGACATTACATACACTAGAAACATCCATTGATTAATCAAAAAATAAATAAATAAATTGGATACATTGTTTAACTGCCCACTTGCTTCAGGATGAGTTCTAGATATATTAATTTATATTCGTAAATACTGTATGTGTCTATCAGGTAAAAAAAAAAAAAAAACACTTTTAAATTGGTTTCAAATTAAGATTCTAGCAAAGCATTTCACAAAAAAAAAAAAAAAAAAAACTTATTTTCACCAGGTACATTTTAAGGAACACAATATACTTTATCAGATTTTTTTCTGTCATAAAAGAAAAAAAAAATGTAGAATTGACACACAATATATTTTTGGCTGTTGTTAAGTTATACCCATGTAACAAGGCTGCAGGGTCATATGTAAACCAACCCAAATTAGCAAAGTAATGCACTCAAGTGCCAATTGAAAATGTAAAAGAAAAAAAAAAACACTTATGATGTTCAAATGTGTGAGACTCAGTCTTCGATTTAAAAAGGGTACACCACTGCAGGGTCAAAGAAGAAAAAAAAAACTGTTTCTGCATTAAAAATAAACAATCAACAGGACTTGGCCTATCTAACATATTCCTCCCTATTTTCGAATATTTATTTAAACAACTGTTGTCAAATTGATGATGTACATACCATCTAGAAACAATTTGTATTCAACTATTTCTTCCTAATATTTTATCTAGAATAATCCCTTTCCATACTCCAAAATAATAAAACAAATAAAATAAATAAAATATTTTTTAAAAACTCTAGTAGAAACCCACAGGGATCATTAGAATTTAAATATATATAAAAAAATATCAACAAAATATGGTACTAGACTGAAATGTTTTTTATTATTATTTTACGATGGGTTTGTTTTTTTCATCAGGGATTTCAGTGAAATGCCTCGCATAACAACTTGTTTATACTGAGATGAGGACTTGTTCGAGTGGTCCTGGTTGTTCAGTAACTTAAATGAACCCAAAAGTCACATAAGTTTCATTAAAAACAGAGGATTCAGCAACAGTTGAGGGTGTTCATAAACTGACGCACATCAGCACTATTACAACCAGCAAAGTTACATATTAGCCATGCACAAAATGCCCAATGCATTACTAATAGCACAGAATAAAAAATGATACATAATCAACCTTTCGCAAAGCATAACACTTAACATAACTTGTTAAACATTATTTTTACTGACACGTTTTTCACCACTACGTACTGGAAATTGTGGTACAATTCAAAACTTGTTCTGTGGAAACAATAGCCTATATATATACACACACACACAATTGTTTGCACATGTTTGTATTTAATGCCCGTGGTATTTTATGGCACGTGGCCAAGTTCAAGCTAAGCTTAACACCTGTAACCACGCCATGTCCATTTAAATACAACCAAACTTCGAACCTTTTTTCTTTTTTACTTTTATCTCAGTTGATAAGGATATTCATACACCAACACGCGCCAAACTGATAAACTTATATTCAGACAAATAGCAGAAAGCCAAAAGTAAAATCAGATGCTGCGCTTACCGCAATCGTGCATTATTGAAATCCGCGCCTGAAACAATGATAACAAACTCAGGATGGTGCAGATGAGCTGCGTGGATAGTTTGAATGAGTGAGAAACCAAAAGCACTCTTTTGAGCAGAGACAGGCGCTCCTCGGCCTCCTCAAACCAAACTCACTGACAGAGACTCGAGCGCCTCCCGCAGGTATCGCGCACCTTCACTCCACCTTTATAACCCCATTTCTGCCCGTACATTTCCCACAACCGCAACCTTGAGCGGCTGATGAACACAAACCTATTTGTTCCGAGACACCGTCTCCTAAAAGGTTTGTTAAAATGAGAGTTTATACAGCCTATATTTTAGAAAAAATCATTAAGCACTGAGAAACTCTGAATCCCACAAATTGAACTTTCTATCCTTCGCTCCTCTGCTGACATTTAAGAGTCAGAGTGGGTGAAGAGGAAGAAAAATTGCAAGAAAATGGTTAAGAAAGGCCATGCAAAACTGAATTAGAGAAAGGAATTAAATAGATATTTCACCCAAAAATTAAAGTTACCTTACTTTTTAGCCTACTCTTTATCGTGTAGTTTAAACCTTTATGGTAAACCTTCTATTAAACACAAATAAAGACATTTAAAAATATGTCAAATATTGTTAAATGGTATTTAAAATGTTTTAATATGTCAAAAGATTCTTGTTTTAAATATGTCCTAAAAGTTTTTTTTTTTTTGCTGCACTGTAAAACCCAACAGTCAACATTTTCTAACGAAATGAAATTTACTGAAAGTTAATACTCATTTGAAAAGAGTTTTGAACTCAGTGTTGAAGGTAATGAGTTAATTAAATACCTCATTACTTCAGCTTAAATGGAGTAAGTTCACAGTACTCAGATTAGTTTTTTTAACTCAAAGGGTTTGTAGCAATTGGTTTCCTCAAACGATTTGAGTTGCCTTAACTTATTGGGTTTTACAGTACTCAGTTTATTTGAGTTTTCTTCGTTTATCAGGTTTTAATTTGCTTTAATTAGCTTTTTTAAATTGCTTCATTTTCCTAAAATGATTAAGTTCACAGTTCTCATAAGGATTAGTTTTTAAACTTAAATAGTTTGTTGCAATCGGTTTTCATAAATGGTTTGAATTACCTTAACTTTGGGGGTTTTAAAGTGTACTCTGTGAAAATATATGATCAATTAGTCATGACAGCATTTTTTTTAGTTCATTGTAACTTATTAAACTAAGTTAATCATGGTCTAACTTAATTTTATAAGTTACGCAAGTTGTTTTAAGTCGATTATAAGTTTAATGGACTCATATAAGGTTAATTTGATTCAGCTTAAAAATTTAAGGCAACCATGATTTTTTAAAGTATATAAACTATTGCTACACTATAGTGTGTTTTCCGTTCATCAAGGTAAAAATTTTATATATATATATATATATATATATATATATATACAGTTGCAGTCAGAATTATTAGCCCCTCTGAATTGTTGGCCGCCCTGTTTATTTTTTCCTTAATTACTGTTTAACAGAGAGAAGATTTTTTTCAACACATTTGTAAACACAATAGTTTAATAACTCATTTCTAATAACTGATTTGTTTTATCTTTGCCATGATGACAGAGAATAATATTTGACTAGATATTTTTCAAGACACTTCTATACAGCTTAAAGTGACATTTAAAGGCTTGACTAGGTTAATTAAGTTAACTAGGCAGGTTAATTAGGCATGCTATTGTATAGTGGTGGTTTGTTCTGTAGACAATCGAAACAAAATATAGCTTAAAGGGGCTAATAATTATGTCCTTAAAATGGTGTTTAAAAAAATTAAAACTGCTTTTGTTCCAGCCAAAATAAAACAAGTAAGACGTTTTCGTGAAGGAAAAATATTATCAGACATACTGTGAAAATTTCCTTGCTCTGCTAAACATCATTTAGGAAATATTTAAAAAAGAAAATTCAAAGAGGTTAATAATTATGACTTCATCTGTATATAATTCTTCCATTAATTTAGTTTATTTATTATTTACTGAAACAGAACAAATTTTAATCATCTAAAAATAATGTAAATGTAAAGTGATGATGCTTTAAAACACATTTTCCCAAGTTCGATCAATCTACAATGAATAAAATGCTAAAAATGCATTGTTTATATATTACTTTTTTTTTTCTTATAAATTACTGAACTGGCAAAGCAACAAAAGGTCTAGATGGTGTATTTTTGAGTTTTCAATAGCTCCTCACCAATCTTCTTCTTAACATGCAAAAATATCTTAACTAAATCTAATTTTTGGTTTAAAGATTGGCCAATCTTAAGAACACTGCATATTAAATAACATCAGTTTGAAATCAGTCATTTCTGAAGGCTGATCAGACAATCAATATAATAGAGTAACTATCTTACTATCATTGGAGAACACATATTAAAACCATGTATTGTCTGAAAATTTATAGATTTTTCATAATCCCTCAATTACTTTAGGATATCACATTCATTAGAAACATCCATTGATAAATCAAGCGAATTTAAATACCTTTTATTTAAAAAATAATAATAATAATAATACTAATAATAATTTTGAAAAAGCCCACTCCTGAGGAGTTCGAACACAGTGCTCTTACCTGAATGACTGACTATATTCTGAAATGTGTGCATCAAGTCTTATGGCTATATGTGACCCTGAACCAGAAAGCACACAGTAAAAAAAAAAAAAAAAACTTTTCTTTTAAAACAGTAAAATAACAGTTGTTACAGACATTTACCATAAAATAACAATAAAATTTACATTTCTGGTAAATTTCTGTAATTTACCGTCTGTTATTTTATGGTAAATGTTTGTAATTTATTTTACGTTGTTTTTTCCAGCACCCTAGTAGCTAGATTGGATATGGTTCTGGCAGAAAGTTAATGATAATTGTTTTCATTATTTGTTAAATTTCACATTTATTGAAACTTAATAACGTCTACCCCCACCACAACCCTAAACCCAACTGTACAGTGTCACAAAAAAATGCTGCGATATTGATGTGCATATCCAGCCTGATCTCACGAGAAAACGTAAGTATTTTACGTTTTGCCAGGAATTCATACGAATTAGCCACTAAATGAAAAAGTTACTAATTGCCGTGAGATTGTGTTGGCATATCACACTTCTGGCGCCCATGTATCAGATATAGCCTTTACCCCTAGCTGCCGAAAAAAAAAACCCCGTAAAATAACAGATTTTTTATTTATTTATTTATTTATTTTTAATAGGGCAGTCATAAGGATAATTTATCTGAAATTTAGACACATGCATTCTAAAAGCCAAATGAAAAAAAAAAAGTTTTGTTGACATAATCTAACAGAATTTTTTTTTTTTTTTAATTGAATTCAAATTAGGAATTTAGCGAGACATATCATCACATTGGAATTATAAGATATTATTTTGAGATATTGAGCTTTAAAGTTTTTGCATTCCACATACCAAACAATATGAGTGTAACATTTGCTTTATGAATAAAAAGTCTTAAAATGTAAACAACTTTAAAAAAAAAAAAACATCCCATAATGTAAATAAGTTGTCATTTAATAAGAATATGTCTTAATGGTGCATAAATCACAGAACTGACTAAGCAAAAAAGGTCTAAGTGTATTTTAGAGTTTTTAATACTGCTCCTCACCAATCGTCTCCTTGATGTGAAAAAATATCTTAAATAAATGTAATTTTTTGGTTTAAAGCTTAGCTAATCTGAAGAAAACTGCACAAAGTCTGCATAAGAATAGTGGCCAAAAACAGGAAAAGAGGAGATAAGTGCAGTTCACGTCCCCCTGCACCTTCCTGAGTGAGTCGAGAGGAAGTGTCTGAAACATTAAAAAGTGGTGTTCTCAGCACATAGCTTTAGCATACAGGACAGGATCCACGTTGATGGATCTCCACTTTGCCTGCATGGACAACATTCTTCTTTGACCCTGCACAAAGAATCCCTCAGAGCTGTGTTGTTTTGTGGCATGGCTGAATTTGATGTGCGGAGAAGACAGCTGACTTGGCACAGATTTAGTGCATGTTTATAGGTCACTCTGAAAACAGGGAAAGAGAGATAACAGAGCTTTCAGTACTCAGTGTCAATAGTCACTATTTGCTAGCAGTCTTCTCACTGTTAAAAAATGTGCACTTTAATTTCAAATAAATAAACCAAAAGACAGGAAGGTTGTAGTTTTGAGCCATCAAAACTGGGTGTCATTCGAGAAACACTGGAAATCTATAACAAATGTGGGCTAAATAAGTGCTAAAGGCAAAATTATTATTAAAAGTAGGAAACCAAGCCCTAAGGCAGGGGTCACCAATCTCGGTCCTAGAGGGCCGGTGTCCCTGCAAGGTTTAGCTCCAACTTGCCTCAACACACCTGCCTGGATGTTTCAAGTATACCTAGCAAGACCTTGATTAGCTTGTTCAGGTGTGTTTGATTAGGGTTTATAGCTAAAATGTGCAGGACACCGGCCCTCCAGGAACGAGTTTGGTGACCACTGCCCTAAGGCATGCTATTTCTGTGAGAATAAATCCAGGATCTGAAGCATTTAATTTGAACAAACTGTATTTATTTAACATATTTGAGTTCAAAGGGGCAAAATGGTGTCTCAGTGGTTAGCACTGTCACACAAGGTTGCTGGTTCAATTCCCATTTCTGTGTGAAGTTTGCATGTTCTCCTCATGTTTGCATGGGTTTTCTCAGGGTGCTCCGGGTCCCTACAGTCCGAAGAAATGTGCTAGAAGTGATATGAATAAACTAAATTGGCTATAGTGTATGTTTTTGAATCAGTGTGTATAGGAGTTTCCCAGTACTGGGTTGCAGCTGAAAGGGCATCCGCTGTATAAAACATGCTAGATAAGTTGGCGGTTCATTCAGCTGTGGCCACCCCTGATGAACAAAGGAATTAAGCCTAAGGAAAATAAATGAAATTGAGTCCAACCTAATAAATATGATCTAAACTACAGTGTTCCTGGAGGGCCACAGCTTTGCACAGTTTTGCTCCTCCAACTCTACCAAACACAGCTGATCCAAATAATCGAGGTGTTCAAAAGAGTCATGAATACCTTTATTAGTTGAATCAGCTGTGTTTGATCAGGGTTGGAGGAGCAAAACTGTGCAAAGCTGCGGCCCTCCAGGAATTGAGTTTGAGACCTATGATCTAAACCAAATAGAGGGAATACAAATAATTTCAATGGAACTCTCTATTAAGTACACCCAGTGAAATAAGCGTAAAAAGCCTATATGACAGGACAGTCCATGTTGTTCTACCAAAAAGCCAATACAAATCCTGTAAATGAAGCAAAAACCCTTCTTTGTGTCTGATACTTTTAATTTCAAGAATTCAGAGGGAAGTGA